AATTCGACCAACAACTGAAAATCGATAATATCTTATTCACATAATAGCTTGTTTCCACTAAAAACACTACCCGACTGGGCTCACCCTACATGGCCCAAAGATCATTCACATATATGTTCACTCATCATTCCCCACAAAAAACCCAAGCTATTATCATAGCCTAACATAGATGATTCGTTCTAGTTTTACTGCATGCCCCGAGGTTGCAGATAGGTTTCTACATTGAGCATATTATTGTTATAGACATAAGTAACGCATTGCTCTCGTCTTTTGTAGTCTAAAATGACGAATACTATCACCTTCTCTCCCTCTTCCTTCCCCTCACCTCATCAAAAAAATAACAAATGAACCTCTACATTACTTTTTTTAGCTATGCACAAAACTTTTTGATTCATGCAAAAGCTGAGCTAACAATTCCCACCTTTAATCGTTTGTCTTCTTCTTTGATTGTGGTGAAAGTGACAGCAAGCAACGACACCAAAGTTATTGTCTGAATAGTTTCCTCGCTAGGCACTGGTATTTTATCTGAAAACAAACATTTTGACTTACATCCAACAAATTTCAACATAATCAAAGACTATGAGCATGAGCCCTAGAAGTATGAACAGAAGGCATTGAGTTAACTCACGTTCTAAGACATCATCTCTGGTATGCTCTTCTGGTCTTAACTCCTTGAGCCATTCGGTGCACATCTCTGCCAACGAATAAAGCACATGTGAATCATTTGGCGATTCTAATTCAGTAAGAATCAAAGCAATGAGAATGGCCAAAGACGCACGATCGCTCTTAGAATTTTCCGTCAACTCTGACACGGCTGTGTCAACAGCCTTAACAGCAATGGTCACGGCAAGAAACAAGAAGAGAATGTAAGCAAAAAACCTCAATCCCTCCGTACTTTGCTAGCAATTTGCAAATGGGAACTATCCAAGTAATTTGCACATCAAAACATAAAGGTAGGGACTTCAGGAAATCTAAAAGCCATTGTCCATCAATCCAAAACGAATTTTTCAGCACTGTCCTAGCACTAACCTACAGAAGATTCGTGAGTCTGTCCGCGGCTAATTAGGAGGCGTCGAGCATCAACTCGGAGCGATGCCGCCAGAGCGGAAAAGATGGCTAGCAAAGATGGAGCGCGGCTGGTAGCAAGTCTAGAGACATCTACATCGAGACATGAAAGGACTCCAGCCAGCTGAAAACAGATTTTCCAAAAAAAAAGGCTTGTGTTGCACTTTACAAATATCTCGTCAGGATTGAGGATAGGAAAAAATGCTCCAAATTTGATTTTTTGTAGATTATATTCTTAAGCGCGAGAACAGATCTTTCGCATCATATCTTCTTTGAGCACACAAAAGGACAAACACCCACTCTAAAGACCTTACAAAAAAAGAATATGAAAAACCTGAGAACTGTGGCCTTCTTAAGAATATCCTCACTATAAATCATTGGTTAACCTAATAAGTTGATCTTATCCTGCCGATATTGTACTAAGACCTTACACTACTAAATCTCTCATTTTAAGACAAGTTTCCAGATCACCTGATGAAACATTAGATCGCTGCCTGTCGTTCCTTTCCTGACATGTAGTGGTATTCTCTCTGCCAGCTCTCGCAATTTCTCATGCATATGAAGAGAGAAGGCAGATGCATTTTCAGATCGCAGCCTGTTGGCAGTTTCGCTGAAATTTTAGACCATACTAATTCTATTCTTCGCTACCACAGATACTCAAATATTTCGTAGTTTTTGAGAAGAAAAAATCGACTCATTGCTAGAACGCTTCTCTTAGAAAATTTCGCAATTTTGTTCTCAATGTTACACCACAGCGAATTCCTTCTTCCTTGCTTGCCTTCATTATCGATAAAAAGTGGTAAAACCTCTATGTAAGTGATCAGAAAAAAAATGATTTGTCACTTCAATACCTCACACGCAAATTCGTTGACCGTACTGTTAACAGAAGATCCATTAGAAAACCATCGAGTGCTTCCTTAAACGCCTTCTTGCACTCA